TGAGGGGTGGGGTGTGTGTGTGGGGAGGCGGGTGGGAGCCAGCCTCTTACCTCCATCAGCTCCTGGACTCCAGGCCTAATGGATGAGCCTTACTGGGCACCCTTGGCCAGGATTCTATGTTTCTGGCCCTTAGTTTTCTCATCTGTAAGTGAGGATCATGCTATTCTCATCGGGGCTTTTCTTGGCTGGCACCTCCCCAGGTTCCCACCCTTTGAGGGAAGGGTCTCTGGTGATCATCTGAGGAAATAGAGGCCCCAGCTAGGAGAAAACTGGGACATGGACACTCAGGCCCTTTGCATGTGGCCCTGCTCACCCAGCAGTGGACACTAGCTCCTTCCCAGCCAGGTGGCTTCTAGCAAAGTGGGAGACTGGGCATCTTAACACTTGAAGTGGGGCTGTGCCAGTCCCCTGGCCCGGCGGGCTCAGTGCCCGTGGGAAGGTGGGGGTGGAGCAGCCATGGGTAAAGGTGAGTCACCTGGACTATTTCAGGTCCCGACCCAGAGGCCCCTGGAAACACCTTGAGGTCCAAGGGGACTCGAGGGCACCTGGGGGACAACAGCAAGCAGGGCCAGGGTGGCCATCTTGGGGCTTTGGTGGCCTGAAAGGGGGAAGGTGAGGAGGGGCTGTGGCTGTTCTGATCCGGAGCACCATCTGCCCACTCACTCCCTGGGGCCCGGGGCCAGACAGCAGATGGTGGAAGCCGCCACAGGGGTTCCTTCGAAGCTTCCCATGGCTAAGCCTCAGATGGGGTTGTCCCCCACCCATCCTCCTGCACCTAGCAGCCACATCTGAGTGCCCCCCACCCCCGCCACCATGGGCTGGCAGAAGGTGGGGGGGAGCTATGCAGCTGGTGTAGTCCGAGGGAAAGAGGGCGGGCCATGGAGAGAGGCGTCCTAGGAAGTGTAGTGCCTGCCTGAGTGCCACACAAAGGCTTCAGTGTCAGTGTTGAGGCCTGAACCCCGATCCCAGTGCGGCCCTGGGTTGGGACCGTCCCATCCTGGCCTTGAGTCCAGGCAGAGCAACCCCGGGCACTCTTGCCAGGCCAGATGCCAGTGTCCCACTCACAGCAGAGCAGGAGGAATCCCAGTTAGAACTGGGCTGGGCCACTTGGCTGTGGGGGCTGGGTGTCCCAGGGTCCTTAGGAGGCTGAGGAAGGCCCAGCTCGTCCCTCTTCCTGCTGTCCAGGGGCTCGGGCCCAAGAGCCGGCTGGCCAGGCTTGGAGGAATGTGGATTATGTTGGGTGGCTTGGGGCAGCGGGGGGCTCCCCGGAGAGGGTGAAGGGGTGGGGACAGGAGCCAGAGGGTTGCACAAGCGCCCAAGTGAGTGGGTGGATGAGTCACAGCCCAGGGGAGGGCGGAAAAAAGGAGGGGTGGGACAGAGTCCTCTCAATGACTTGGCTCTCCCAAAGACCTCTGCCCATTTGACAGATGGGAAGATTGAGGCCTAGAAAGTCGCAGGGCCTTGTCCCAGCTGCACAGTGCAGACAGGAGGCAGACAAGAGGCCCTGGTCCCTCACTCCTTTTTGGAGGGATTGGCCAGAAGCAGGGAAAAGTGTCAGGTGGTGGCCTGGTTTCCCCCATTATTCATTGCTAGGGCCGAGCTGAATCCTGTGGACTCCATGGGGCAGGAAGAGGTTTGTCCTACAGACTCACAACTTCATCTCACCAGCATACGCCCATGGCCCCCATGACCCTGGCTGGGTCCCTGGTCTCGGCCTTGCCCTTTCCTGCTGACTCAAAGTCCCCCAAAAGAACTGGGCCTCCCAAGAGGCAGGAGTGAGGATCGGGGAGGTCAAGGGGTCCAGCAGGGATGGATGGCCAGGCCAGTTGAATATTGGTTGTCGGGTCAGATGCCCCAGGTTTGAGTTGGGGCACAGCTGTGGGGCCTTGGACACATGGCCTCCTCTCCCTGAGCCCTGTCTTCTGGCCTCTGCAGTAGAGACTGTGCTGCCTATGGGACTGCCAGGGGCTTGGGCATCGTGGCCTCCTAGAGAGGGAGTGGGCAGAAGCTTGTGCTCACATTCAAGAGGAAACAACTTGTATGGGAGCATTTATTGAGCACCTACTGTGTGCTCCCACACCGCCTCAAATTGCCCCTTGATGGGAACTCTTGTGAGCCCTTTAGTGGAGGGGCAGGTGCCAGTTTTTGTCTCTCAAGTGCCCAGTGTGGGTTTTGCCAGCATAATCTCATATTCTGCAATCTAATGTAGAACCAGACATGGACCACCCTGGTGCACAGCTGGGGGAAATGAGTCTGGGAGGGCAGAGTGTGGCACTACTTTTTGAAGGTCTCAAGCCCTGGTCGGTGGGCCTGCTCCCCCGCATCCTCACAACCACCCCTTCCTTCCTGGCACTGCAGGTATCGGCGTGGAAGATGGCCGGCGGCGTGGACGGCCCTATCGGGATCCCGTTCCCTGACCACAGCAGTGACATCCTGAGCGGGCTCAATGAGCAGCGGACGCAAGGCCTGCTGTGTGATGTGGTGATCCTGGTGGAGGGCCGCGAGTTCCCCACGCACCGCTCGGTGCTGGCGGCCTGCAGCCAGTACTTCAAGAAACTGTTCACGTCGGGCGCTGTGGTGGACCAGCAGAACGTGTACGAGATCGACTTTGTCAGTGCCGAGGCGCTCACGGCACTAATGGACTTCGCTTACACAGCCACGCTCACCGTCAGCACGGCCAATGTGGGCGATATCCTTAGTGCCGCCCGCCTGCTTGAGATCCCTGCTGTGAGCCACGTCTGCGCCGACCTCCTTGACCGGCAGATCCTGGCGGCCGACGCAGGCACCGACGCCGGGCAGCTGGACCTCGTAGATCAAATTGATCAGCGAAACCTCCTCCGCGCCAAGGAGTACCTCGAATTCTTCCAGAGCAACCCCATGAATAGCCTGCCTCCCGCGGCTGCCGCCGCAGCCGCCGCCAATTTCCCGTGGTCTGCCTTTGGCACATCTGACGATGACCTGGATGCCACCAAGGAGGCGGTGGCTGCTGCTGTGGCTGCCGTGGCTGCAGGCGACTGCAATGGCTTGGACTTCTATGGGCCGGGTCCCCCGGCTGAGCGGCCCTCAGCTGGGGATGGGGACGAGGGTGACAGCAACCCGGGTCTGTGGCCAGAGCGAGATGAGGACGCCCCTGCTGGAGGCCTCTTTCCACCCCCTGTGGCCTCGTCAGCTGCCACCACACAGAATGGCCACTATGGCCGGGGTGGGGAGGAGGAGGTGGCCTCACTGTCAGAGGTGGCCCCAGAGCCAGGCGACTCTCCAGGCTTCTTGTCGGGCACGGCTGAGGGTGAGGACGGGGACGGGACCGATGCAGATGGGCTGGCAGCCAGCACGCTGCTACAACAGATGATGTCGTCAGTGGGCCGGGCAGGGGCAGCGGCAGCGGGGGACAGCGACGAGGAGTCACGGGCGGACGACAAGGGCGTCGTGGACTACTACCTGAAGTACTTCAGCAGCACCCATGACGGCGACTTCTACCCGGCCTGGTCACAGAAGGTGGAGAAGAAGATCCGCGCCAAGGCCTTCCAGAAGTGTCCCATCTGCGAGAAGGTCATTCAGGGCGCTGGCAAGCTACCACGGCACATCCGGACCCATACTGGCGAGAAGCCCTACGAATGCAACATCTGCAAGGTCCGATTCACCAGGTAAGCCAGCACCGCCGTGGCGGGGGGCTTCCTGGCTCCTATGCGCAAACTGCAGCCACACCGGATCCCTCCCCTGTACACACACACACCACCTCCATGGGCAGTGGCAGTGCTGCCCTGTCTGGAATGGTGCCTTTTCCATTTTGGGGTACTCCCGTGTACCCCTTGAGAGCAGACTTCGGGTGGGGAGAGTGCAGGCACTAAACCAGATGACCACATAAATATAAAGTGTGCTTGGGGAGGCTGGCAGGAAGAGTGCTCTGAGTTGCTCTTCTTTTTTCCAGGGGTGGTGGTTCTCCTCTGGACTGGAGGAGAATTTTTGCCTTGGGAGTAGCCAACAGCCCTGTAGAGAGCAGGGAGCTCCGGTTGTTGAGTCACTTTGAGTCTCCCATGAGCCTGGGGTACTTGATTTATTCAGCCAGCTTTAATGGAACACCTGCTGAGCACTAGGCCCTGTTCTAGGTAGGCACGAGGGATGCAGAAGTGGAGTGACAGGCCAAAATCCTCATGGGGGCGATGGAGCATGTGCGAGATGAAATTGCAGAATTGATAACACTAGTTAGTGAAACATGCTAGGGCAGAGAACAAGGTGCGAGGTAGGGGATGGCGGTTGGTGCCGCATTAAACAGAGCTGAGACCTGAAGGAGGTAAGGAAGGGTGTAATGGGGAAAGGGAACGGCAGGGGGAATAGCCAGTGCGAAGGCCCTGAGGCCAGTTCAGCTTGGAGGACCACTACGGCCCTTGGAGGGATATTGGCACAGGAGCCTCTAGGCCTAGTCCCTGGACAGGAGTTTGAGACTGGGCTGGGGAAAATTTGTGATTCAGTCTTAAGAGTCCAGAGGTGGCTGACTGGGCTTTGTGGGGCAGCCTGGTGGAGGCAGGGGGCTAGCGTGCAGGGCCCTGGCCAGGCTGGGTGACTCAGCGCTGCCCCTACCCCCACCCGCCCTGGGGTTCCCCCAGCCACACCCACCAGGCTGAAGAAAGAAGCCATTGTCCCAGATTCCCAGCCCTGCCCCATGGGGATAGGACCTGGGGGCTAACCCATAGTCCCCTCCCCAGCAGGCTAGGTGAAGAGGGTGTGGCCTGGACTCCAGGGCCCAGGAGTGCCAGGCAGAGGGCAAAGGACATTATGGGAGAGGCGGGCAGTCTAGTTGGTGGCCTGCCCCCAACCTTTGGTGTGATTGTGGTCCTGCTAGTCTTGGGGGCTCCCTCGTCCTCCAGATGGAGGTGTGGAGATGGCTGTGGGCCCTGCCCTCAAGTGTCTCTGGGTCCGGGGAGGGAGCAACTTAATGAGGCCCCAACAAGCCAGGGTCTAGAGAGGTGGCCAGGATGACCTGTGACCCCAACCACAGGCCTGAGGCTAAGTTTCATTCTGACCTGAAGTTCTCTTGGCCATCCTAGCCCAGGGCTGATTCTATTTGCCAGTTAGGAAAACTGAGGCACAGAGAGGGGCGCCAGGCCAGGACCTCTTCCCCACATGTGCCCACCTGGCTCCTCTCTGTCCCTGACCCAGGGCCCCAGCCCCTACCCCCACCCTCCAGGCCCAGGAGCCCAGGGGCCCCTGTGAGTCACACTAGAGAGTTGAGTAAGCAGGGCTTGTGGCGGCTGGGGCTATAATTACCCAGGCCTGGGCTTGGGGTGATGAAACTGGAGCTGCCTCCACCCCCACCCCACCTCAGCATAGCCCCCGACCCGCTGTGCAACTCCGTGCAAGTCACTTCCCCGCTCTGAGCCTCTGAGCCTCAGCTGGGGAAATCTCTATATGTGCTAGAACAATCTTGAGTCCCTGGCCCTTGGCCCTGTGCAGGGACCTGGGCAGGGCAACTAGGAGACTTGGCAGAACCCCAGGCAGGAGGCCTGTTACCTTCCTCCTCCTATAGATAAGAAGGGGATTCAGAGAGGTTCAGCTGTTTGTCCAAGGCCATACCGTAAGCGGGGTCCAAGGCCCTTTTCAGACTTTTGGGGGCCCTTGGTGTACCCCCTTTTCCTGTTTTGTCTGGGACTGTTCCCAGCCACAGCCTGCCTTTCTGAAAGGGTCTAGGTTTCAACCTCAAGGCCAGCAGGGGTCTGGGGGCTGTCCCAGGAGGGGGCCTGGCCCAGCGCCTGCTGACCTCGCCCCCTCCACAGGCAGGACAAGCTCAAGGTGCACATGAGGAAGCACACAGGTGAGAAGCCGTACCTGTGCCAGCAGTGCGGGGCGGCCTTCGCCCACAACTACGACCTGAAAAACCACATGCGTGTGCACACTGGCCTGCGGCCTTACCAGTGCGACAGCTGCTGCAAGACCTTCGTCCGCTCTGACCACCTGCACAGACACCTCAAGAAGGACGGCTGCAATGGCGTCCCCTCGCGCCGTGGCCGCAAGCCTCGTGTCCGGGGCGGGGGGCTTGGGGGGCCTGACCCCGGCCACGGGGCCACTGCGCCGCCCTGCACCCCTGCCCCGCCCGGCTCCCCCGAGGCCCGGCGCAATGGCCAGGAGAAGCACTTTAAGGACGAGGACGAGGAGGAGGAGGAGGAGGCCAGCCCCGATGGCCTGGGCAGGTTGAATGTAGTGGGTGCTGGCGGAGGGGGTGGCGATGGGGCCACTGGGGCCCCCGCTGACGGCAGCTTTGCAGCCGGACTCGCCTGAAAACCAAAAAGAAAACAGAAACCCGAGAAAAAGAGAGAGAGAAAAAATCACCTACTACCCCCAAAAAAACACAAAAAAAAGAAAATCTATCTATATACAGATACCTATATCGATATATATATACATATATATATATATCTGTATATATATATATACAGATATATATATATATATATATATATATATATATATATATATATATATATATATGAAGTGTCACAGAATCTAGGATAGTGCTTTTCTCAGATTTTTCTCTTTCATGATGTTCTCTCCCTCCGCAGGGACCCTCGCACCCCGCCCAGCTCCCCTTCCCCGCATCCCGTCGATGGGTTTCGGGGCCTTGTTTGGGGTTTTTGTGGGACACAAGGATTCTGAGCTCCCCTGCTCCCCCCCCCCCTGCCCCCGGTATTCCCGGCATTCCCGGCATGGGGTCTGGGGTCCCATCTGAGGCCTGGTCAGGACCCCAGACCCCAGGCGGGGGTGAGGGCGGCTGAGGGGGGCCCAGGACTGGTGTGGGCTTTAGTTTTCCTCCCCTTGCTGGTTTCTATGAGTCTTTTAGATAAGACCTTAAATGATTTCTGTCTGCTGTGAGTGGACATTAAAATGGTCCCTATCCCCACCCCCACCTTCCTTCCTCAGGGCACTTATTAAGTGGGGGTCTCCCCCCTTGATCTCCCCACTTCCCGTCCCTGCCTGTGGTTCCCTGTTTCTCCTGGCCATTGCTACACAATCTCTTTATTTCTAGGTGTGGAGAAAGGGGAGAAGACAGGCGAAGACGGGGAGCCAGGATGACTCCCAGGGGTTCCCTCTCCCTTCCTTCACGGCACTTACAACCTGGTGGGGCACCCAAGGGCCACTGCTCAAAGCACCCCCGCCACTCTAGTCTGTGTCCCTTGACTCAGGCCAGCCACCCAGACCCCTATGAGACATTTGGAGATTCAAAACTTGTCTTCACCCTCTCTTCACCTCTTCCCTTAGCCCTGTCCCAATTTTTTAAAGCACTTTTTAAATTGTTTTTCCCTCCTTAAAAACAAAATATATATATATTTTATATATATATATGTATATGTATGTATATGTATATATGTGTGTGTGTACATATATATACATACATATATACACATATATACACACATATATATATATA